CCAGTTTTACATATTCGGCACGACATATTATATATAATATATATAATATATAATATATATATATATATATATATATATATATATATATATATATATATATAATATATTATATATATAATATATATATAATATATATATATATATATATATTATATATATATATAATTATATATATATTATATATATATATAGGTAGGTAGTTAGTGGCATAGTTTATCCTAGAGGAAAACGTGACGTGGTTGGTACGAGGTGTTAAAAACACACCCACGCTGAACCATAAACAACCACGACTTCACTCAGCTTACACCGGTTCCTCTATCAACTGAGCACAATTAAAATATTTGTGTCTGGGTCAGTGTTATCTAGGGAGCGTGGAGGAGTTGTGGGGAAAAAATATTCATTAGGAATTTATCTCATTAGGATCAGTAGTGTGTGTGTGTGTGTGTGTGTGTGTGTGTGTGTGTGTGTGTGTTCTGGCTGAGCCACAGGCCACAGAGTAGAGCACAAACATAATGTGAAATTATGTACCAGTCCTCACCCACATTTGTCTTTTTATCTGTCTTTTTTGTCTGAGTATTTTTCTCGTTGTTTTACGGTCGCTGTGTCTGTTACTCTTGAATTTCTTGCCAACATTTCAACACACACAAAGGCGAGTACATAAACGCACGCTTGGATCACCACTTAAGATGCGTTCAACTCACTCGGAGAATTTTTTTTTTTCACGCTGTTGAGACGTAGGAAAACACATTACGAAAAAAAACTTTGGTCTAATGATAGTGATAACGTTAACTGAAAAAAAATATTAGAGTTTTTTAATAGTATCAATAAAAATAATTAAATCTTAATCAAAAACTCTAATACAAAAAATGTTGTATCGGTAGCCAGGTATTGTTAGTGTTGTCAAGGTATTGGCTGAAGAATAAAAGTGGTCACAGTACCATGGCTGAAATAGTTCACCAAAAACCTACACGTAGGAGAGCAATCTTATGACGACGTTTCGATCCGTCCTGTACAACTGTCAAGCCACACTGACAGTTGTGGCTTGACGGAGCGAAAAGTCGTCATGAGGTCCCTCTTCTAATTACGAGTTTTTGGTGAAAAAGATATTAACTACCAGCTTGAATCTAGTGATCCTAGCTGGTGACTGGATTGCCTGTAAGCCAGGGAGCGAGACACTCACATAAAGCACTAGGAATACTAGTGATTCCTGGGTGCCATTACTAGTATTATAGTAAAAATGTTGAGGAGACTGAAGCTTATATAGAGGATAACACCAAGTTCGGTTACGAGGATAGAAACTCTGACACAACGAGGATAGGAAGTCAGATACGACGAGGATAGGAAGTCAGACACGACGAGGGAAGGAACTCAGACACGACGGAGCAGAATTTGGTGTGGTAAATGACTCGTGAAGTTCAGATGAAGTGAAGAAATCTGTAGCGAAGGTAGGATTTCGGTCGGGGGAGGGGAGGTACAAGCTAGGATTTTAATCTGGAAAGCTCAAAAATCGTAAGATCCTGAAAAAAATAAGAAATCAATTTTAAAAATATATAATTTTTAGTAGGGGTGTGACAGTTCTTAAGTTATTTTGATTGTGTTCACTAGGAAATATAACACAATAGTAATTAAATATTAGTTGAAAAAATAATATTTACATGTGGAGAGGTTTTTTTTTTGTAGCCTCGTTAATCCCCCAGCATCCCATTGGCTGCGCCACTGGTGGAAATTTTAATGGCATATGAGAGACGAAGTTCAAGTGAGACGAGAAACTGTAGTGTTATATAATAGGATAAGATAAAAAAAATAGTGTTTTTTTAAAAGGGGGAAAATCTGCAGTCGAGGTTATTATAACAGTACAGGTTAATATTCGACAGCAGTATACACTAACCAGCACATGGGAGAAAGAGACTTATGACGTTTCGGTCCGACTTGGACCATAAAGTAGTGAATATCAAAATGGTATACAATACCGACAGGTTGGTAGGTAAGACACACAGGCAAAATTTAGGCAACTTTATTCCGAAACGTTTCGGAATAAAGTTGCCTAAATTTTGCCTGTGTGTCTTACCTACCAACCTGTCGGTATTGTATATCATTTTGATATTCACTCTGTCAGACACTGCAACACAGTGGCATCTTGGTACAGAAGAGAAAACACCTTGGACAACTTTTTCAAGTGAGAATTGTTTGATCTGAGAGGGACGTGACCTCTCAATGGCTAGATTCTCACTACTACTACTCTGCACCTCTCTTTCCAACAGTATTTAAGTCTCAACACTGTCGCTTGATCTTCAGTTAGTTCCAGACTCTGGAACAGAATTTCTCCAGGCTGAGGGACTGACAACCTCAAATCTACGACTTCAAGGGTGATGGACTGATTACATCGTCTTCACTGCGCCTGCCTACTTCCTGTACTCGATTGAAGAAACCTACTGTGTATGCGAAACGTTTCGGAATAAAAATGCCTATGTATCTTACCTACCAACCCCATTAAGTAGTGACGCAGAAGCACGAAGGGAGTCAGTATATTTACGAGAGCGGGGGAGGGGGGTTGGACGGCAGAAAGAGATGGTAAAACTTCACACTTGACAGCATATTACGTGATAACAGTGCAAAAATTCGAATATTAGAAAATAAATGTGAAATAAGATAAATAGAGGTTAATACAGCCACGACGTTATTAACTTGATTGTGTATCGGTAGTCACTGGTAAAGCTGAACCTTCAAAACAAAATATTCCCGAATGAGAGAATTTTGAACAAAAAGTCATTCTTGTCACACTAGTTATGTTATAAATGTTCAAAATGTAAATATTTGGAAATACATTTCGATTTGTAAGTATAAATTTGGATATTTATCTGACTGGAAATTTACATATCCAAATCTCTACTGGGAAACATATGTGAGTAGAAACTGAGATAAGAGGTGGAGATAATTATGTTACCTGGAGGCGCAGACATAGTAGGTCAGGTGGTGTTGAACGGATGTACTGCTTCCTTCCTCGTGTGTGTGTGGTGTGTGTGTGTGTGTGTGTGTGTGTGTGTGCACTCACCTTGTATTGTCTACAGGGTTTGATTCACAGCTCCTGGTCTCGCCTAACACTGATCGATCGGTTTCACTTATATCCTGGCCTCCAGGATCCAATCATATCTTCTCCTGGAAGTGTGTATAATGTTTACCTCAGTAGCGTCTTCATTTAGTGCGTCCACTTTACTACATTAAGAGTACAAATGTATTTCGTACCCTGTCTTTGGCTGATAGTGTTGCCATGTGTGCACCCTGGCTCCCTCTCCTCTCAAACGCACTGTCTTGATTCACTCTATCTGATCATCTGAATATTTTGTAAATAGTGATAATGTTTTTTTCACAGCGAATTACCGCACAAAATGTCACCGATAATCTTCGAACGTTTCCTTTATACTCGGTCACCTCACTGCCAGACATAACTTTTTTTTCTAATTTTCTTATTTATGATGAAATATATATTTTTATAAGTGTATATAAATTGACCTAACCTAATTAGCCAAAAGGAACTCTTTTAGAGTTATCAGTTTAAGTCTTTTATGTATCTCGTCATTCATTTCCCCTCATTTAGGCTACCAGTCTCCTTGCAAACTTTCAGATTATCTCTAGTTTCTTGATATACCTGGTCAGGTGCGGGTTCCATACTAATAACTTCATATGACGGGTTATGACACACACTGTCGCCCATGCGAGTTGTCTTTTATGCTTCAATTTCTTTCAAGGTGTTTAACTTTTATCTTCTTATCCATTTTTAGCACCTTAGCTAGTGTCCTAGTCAGCGAGAGTTACCTCTGTATTTTCCCTTCTTGCTTATTGGGCTCACATCTGTAGCCTTCAAGCCGTCTGCCACTTACCGATTCCCACTAACTTGTATGTAATTTATGTGGGGAGCGAGCGGTTCCACTGCTGCTTCGTCCAGTATTCCAGGTGATGTTCTGTCTGGTCTCACTGCTTTCGTTGCGTCTAAGTTCTTAAGGAGTTAAGTAAAAGGACACAAGTGCAACTAATGTGACATTTTATTGTGGCAACGTTTCGCTCTCCAGGAGCTTTATCAGCTTGATTAAGCTCCTGGAGAGAACGTTGCCACAATAAAATGTCACATTAGTTGCACTTGTATCCTTTTACCTAACATACTGTCGGTAATTCTACCAACATTAATGCAATCTTAAGGAGTTCTTCCATTTCCTCCTCTGTGGTTAAAATTTCCTCTCATCTCTGCTGCTCGACCCTTGCTCTTCCTCCCGGCATCTCCTCAGACTTCGTTGAACCTTCAAGTCATGCGTTCGTATGTATGCACGTTGTCTGCGAGTAAATATCATAACTATATATTTTAATTGTATTTATGAGTGATGATTTTAATTTTGTATTTATACAGACAAATAGAGGCATTTGTGCTGAGCAGTCACTTTACTGTATATCGTTTACATGTGTTTATCGTGCAGTATTTAGGTAGCTGTGTGTGTGGTGTGTGTGTGTGTGTGTGTGTGTGTGTGTGTGTGGCGTGCGTGTGTGTGTGCGTGTGCGTGCGTGCAGTGCTTCAGTTCACCTTCAGTGCTTCAGGTCAACTGCAATGATTCAGGTCAACAGCAGTGATTCAGATCAACAGCATGATTCAGATCAACAGCAGTGATTCAGGTCAACTGCAGTGATTCAGGTCAACTGCAGTGATTCAGGTCAACTGCAGTGATTCAGGTCAACTGCAGTGCTTCAGGTCACCTTCAGTGCTTCAGATCAACTGTAGTGTTTCAGGACACCTGGACTGTCTACTACATACTAGCCTGTTTCACCTTACTCTGTATTAGGATTGGTGAAGTCACTCGGAGCGAAACGTTCCCTCTAATGAATATCTGAACTGTACACAAGTGTCCTTGTGTACACCTGACTGTGGGTCGATCCTTCGCCTGGCATTACTGAATGACTTGCACGAATTTAGCGCTTCGTGAAATACAATCTACATTTTCCCCCCGTCTTTTCAGGGGGACCTGGTGTGGTTTGACCCCGGGCTGGGCTACGTGCTGCCGGGCGAGGTCATGGAGTTCCACAGAGCAGGTCAGGTCATCACCGTGCAAGCCGTCATAGGTGGCAAGGTAAGTCACCCCGTGATAATACATACCGACACATTGATTTTGAAAGACACGTGAGAAAATACTAGGATATAAAAATGGTTATAATCATAGCCATATCTTCTAAAAGGGTGGACTGGTAAGCCAGCGGAAGGCCTCGATCAGATGACTAAAAGCTCCAGCTATGAGTCATCATATGACTAAGGCCAGCGTCAGGAAACACTTGTTTTGTTTCCTGAAACATTATCTAACCTAAACACTAGGACATGTTTATTAGGAGCGTTTCGGTCCTGGGACCTTGAGCAAGGTCCCAGGACCAAAACTTTTTCTGATAAATATGTCCTAGTGTTTACTCATGAGTCTTTCTAAACCCAGTTATCCCTTCACCTGGCTTACCCAGTCTCTGTAATATAACACAGTAACCCAGCCTCTGTGTCACAACATACAGTAACCCAACTTCTGTAACTATACATAACCCAGCCTCTGTAACACGATATAGTAAACACTGTAAATATACAGTAAAACAGCTGTGAATACAGTAACCAGCTCCATCTGTAAAATGATACAATGTAACCCAGCACTCTGCAAACAAGAAATCTATGTTTAGTAAACACGTAAAAATATAAGGTGAAGGAATTTACGGTACTGCACGTATATCCATAACACCTCTATGAAATAGCAGATTGTAACACAGCACAGGCAGACAATATATAATATATCCACCTAATTTACTGTCCATAATGTCAACAAATCGCTCCCTACAGCATATAGAGAATGTACATAGAACCTCTGAGTAAAAGTCAGGCACAGTACACTACTAATACCTAACGTGCCGAAGCCATGACTTGTTCTACACCTCGACCAGGCATAGGAGAACTATTAATAGCCACCCTGGCGTTCATGAGGACTGGTCTAATCCACAGCAGGCAGATCGGTCCTGGAGCAGTGGCGTTGGAGCTGTCGATCCCACAGTGAATACAGCCGGGCGCCCTGTACACCAAGGAACTGGTACATGAGTGTCCGTGGGCAAGATCGTTCAACAGCATCCCTCCAGTCCAGTAAAGGCTGTTTACTATAGACCATGGCTTGTCATGCAAGGAGCTGCAGTTAAAGAGTGCCAGATGGTCAGAGGGCTGTTTCGACCTTGGTACTCGTCTCCGAGTCATTATTACTGGTGACGATTGTCCTTGAATCATTATTACCTTGACATGCTGAAGTCATTATTACCTTGACATGTCTGAAGATCATTATTACCTTGACATGTCTGAAGATCATTATACCTGTGACATGCTGAAGATCATTATTACCTTGTTACATGTCTGAAGATCATTCATTACCATGAATGTCTGAAGATCATGTTTACATTGACATGTCTGAAGATCATTATTACCTTGACATGTCTGAAGATCATTATTACCTTGACATGTCTGAAGATCATTATTACCTGACATGTCTGAAGATCATTATTACCTTGACATGTCTGAAGATCATTATTACCTTGACATGTCTGAAGATCATTATTACCCTTGACATGTCTGAAGATCATTATTACCTTGACATGTCTGAAGATCATTATTACCTTGACATGTCTGAAGATCATTATTACCTTGACATGTCTGAAGATCATTATTACCTTGACATGTTGAAGATCATTATTACCTTGACATGTCTGAAGATCATTATTACCTTGACATGTCTGAAGATCATTATTACCTTGACATGTCTGAAGATCATTATTACCTTGACATGTCTGAAGATCATTATTACCTTGACATGTCTGAAGATCATTATTACCTTGACATGTCTGAAGATCATTATTACCTTGACATGTCTGAAGATCATTATTACCTTGACATGTCTGAAGATCATTATTACCTTGACATGTCCTGAAGATCATTATTACCTTGACATGTCTGAAGATCATTATTACCTTGACATGTCTGAAGATCATTATTACCCTTGACATGTCTGAAGATCATTATTACCTTGACATGTCTGAAGATCATTATTACCTTGACATGTCTGAAGATCATTATTACCTTGACATGTCTGAAGATCATTATTACCCTGACATGTCTGAAGATCATTATTACCTTGACATGTCTGAAGATCATTATTACCTTGACATGTCTGAAGATCATTATTACCTTGACATGTCTGAAGATCATTATTACCCTTGACATGTCTGAAGATCATTATTACCTTGACATGTCTGAAGATCATTATTACCTTGACATGTCTGAAGATCATTATTACCTTGACATGTCTGAAGATCATTATTACCTTGACATGTCTGAAGATTATTATTACCTTGACATGTCTGAAGATCATTATTACCTTGACATGTCTGAAGATCATTATTACCTGACATGTCTGAAGATCATTATTACCTTGACATGTCTGAAGATCATTATTACCTTGACATGTCTGAAGATCATTATTACCTTGACATGTCTGAAGATCATTATTACCTTGACATATCTGAAGATCATTATTACCTTGACATGTCTGAAGATCATTATTACCCTGACATGTCTGAAGATCATTATTACCTTGACATGTCTGAAGATCATTATTACCCTGACATGTCTGAAGATCATTATTACCTTGACATGTCTGAAGATCATTATTACCCTGACATGTCTGAAGATCATTATTACCTTGACATGTCTGAAGATCATTATTACCCTGACATGTCTGAAGATCATTATTACCTTGACATGTCTGAAGATCATTATTACCTGACATGTCTGAAGATCATTATTACCTTGACATGTCTGAAGATCATTATTACCTTGACATGTCTGAAGATCATTATTACCTTGACGTGTCTGAAGATCATTATTACCTTGACATGTCTGAAGATCATTATTACCCTGACATGTCTGAAGATCATTATTACCCTGAATGTCTGAAGATCATTATTACCTTGACATGTCTGAAGATCATTATTACCTGACATGTCTGAAGATCATTATTACCTTGACATGTCTGAAGATCATTATTACCTGACATGTCTGAAGATCATTATTACCTTGACATGTCTGAAGATCATTATCTTGACATGTCTGACGATCATTACCCTGACATGTCTGAAGATCATTATTACCCTGACATGTCTGAAGATCATTATTACCCTTGACATGTCTGAAGATCATTATTACCTTGACATGTCTGAAGATCATTACCTTGACATGTCTGAAGATCATTACCCTGACATGTCTGAAGATCATTATTACCCTGACATGTCTGAAGATCATTACCCTGACATGTCTGAAGATCATTATTACCCTGACATGTCTGAAGATCATTATTACCCTGACATGTCTGAAGATCATTATTACCTTGACATCTCACGTTTTGAAGATTATTGAACATAGTTTTCCATGCATTTGTGAGAGTAACATTATTGTCTTCATAGTTTTCTATATGGCAGAGAGGCTGAAAGTTTTTTCCACATTAAACTTCACATCGTTTTCTATGGCCTACAGGAAGACTTGCCGGGTATTCGATAGATGGCACTCTCGTGCAGTTTCTAACATCGTCTATGAAGGATGATGCGGATATCTCGCGTTTTCCTTAATGGTGCTCTAGTTTTTTATGAGCAAATTACAATGTGTTCAAAAGAAAAGGATTCCAAGCATCTTTATTTATAATTTTCCATGAAACCCATGAGACAGTCAGGAGAGCTTCCTTGTCAACGTTGGTAAAGTACAGTTTATGTCGAGTTTAGGAATGTGACATTGTCGGGTTTGCAAAAAACCTGTAAATGGGGTGGTTGTACTTTCCGGTTTTCCGCTTATTTGTCAGGTTAATTTGCTTCGCTCGAGCAGTGAAGCGATACATCTGATAACTCCAAGGGTCTGACATCATTTGTTCTTTCTTGATAACGTTACGCAATGCTTGCCGGCTTACATAATTGATTATTAATATGTTGGAATACTTTTTTCTGAGTTTGTCTGAGTGGGAAGTCTTGTATGTAGGTGGCTGCCAGTGGTGATAGTGGTGGTTTGTAGTGGTGGCTGGTAGTGGTGACAGTGGCGGTTGATAGTGGTGATACTGGTGTTGATAGTAATGATAGTGGTGGTTGGTCGTGGTGGTAGTTAGTAATGGTGATAGTGACGGTTGATAGTGGTGTTAGTAGTGGTGATAATGGTACTAGTTGGTAGTGGTGATAGTGGTGTTGATAGTGATAGTGGTGGTAGTTGGTAATGGTGATAGTGTCGGTTGGTAGTGGTGATAGTGGCACTAGTTGGTAGTGGTGATAGTGGTGTTGATAGTAGTGCTAGTGGTGGTTGGTAGTGGTGATAGTGGCGGTTGATAGTGGTGTTGGTAGTGGTGATAGTGGTGGTAGTTGGTATGGTGGTAGTGGTGGTTAGTAGTGGTGATGGTGGTAGTGGGGATAGTGGTGGTTGGTAGTGGGGATAGTGGTGGTTGGTAGTGGTGATACTGGTGGTTGGTAGTGGTGATAGTGGTGTTGGTAGTGGTGATAGTGGTGGTAGTTGGTAGTGGTGATAGTGGTGATAGTGGTGTTGGTAGTGGTGATAGTGGTGGTAGTTGGTAGTGGTGATAGTGGTGGTCGGTAGTGGTGATAGTGGTGTTGGTAGTGGTGATAGTGGTGGTTGTTAGTGGTGATAGTGGTGGTTGTTAGTGGTGATAATGGTGGTTGGTAGTGGTGATAGTGGTTGGTAATGGTGAATGGTGGTTGTTAGTGGTGATAGTGGTATTGGTAGTGGTGATAGTGGTGGTTGGTAGTGGTGATAGTGGTTGTTAGCGGTGATAGTGGTGGTTGTTAGTGGTGATAGTGGTATTGGTAAGTGGTGATAGTGGTGGTTGTTAGTGGTGATAGTGGTGGTTTGTTAGTGGTGATATTGGTTGGTAGTGGTGATAGTGGTGGTTGTTAGTGGTGATAGTGGTGGTTGTTAGTGGTGATAATGGTGGTTGGTAGTGGTGATAGTGGTTGGTAGTGGTGATAATACTGGTAGGGAAAATGGTTAAAGATGGTTGACCTACCGCATGATTTATTTTCGTATATGTGGGAATTTTACTCTCCTTTAGGTAGTTTGTGTCTTGAGTTACCTGGTGTTGAGAAAGGTTCATACAGCTGCACATTATTAACTTCAAAGTACAGGTAAACTTTAGTGTGATTATCATTGATGGCATAAGTGGAGTGGCCGGCGTTACTCTTAAGGGATAAAACCTGTTTAGAGGTTCTCTACATGCGACATTAATATTATGGGTGGCTCCACTCGCCCATTACTCTCAGCACTCGCCTAACACATTTTTACCCCACGTAGGCCGACATAAGCCTACTCTGGCAATTGTTTTATACCCACGCAGTTCTAACAGGTAAAAAAAAGAAATTCTGGAGCTTTAAGTAGCTAAAACTTTTCTAAACATCCTTATAATGTAAATATTTTCTGGTCTCATACTGCTCTTTTTCGGTATTATAATATAATAAATAATAATTATATATATTATATAATTATTATATATATATATTATATATATATATATATATATAGGGCAAGGAGGAATAACATCTTGTAGGAGTGAGGAAGAGCCAGTTGTGAGTGTGGGGGAAGTTCGTGAGGCAGTAGGTAAAATGAAAGGGTGTAAGGCAGCCGGATTGATGGGATAAAGATAGAAATGTTAAAAGCAGGTGGGAATATAGTTTTGGAGTAGTTGGTGCAATTATTTAATAAATGTATTGAAGAGGGTAAGGTACCTAGGGATTGGCAGAGAGCATGCATAGTTCCTTTGTATAAAGGCAAAGGGGACAAAAGAGAGTGCAAAAATTATAGGGGGATAAGTCTGTTGAGTATACCTGGTAAAGTGTATGGTAGAGTTATTATTGAAAGAATTAAGAGTAAGACGGAGAATAGGATAGCAGATGAACAAGGAGGCTTTAGGAAAGGTAGGGGGTGTGTGGACCAGGTGTTTACAGTGAAACATATAAGTGAACAGTATTTAGATAAGGCTAAAGAGGTCTTTGTGGCATTTATGGATTTGGAAAAGGCGTATGACAGGGTGGATAGGGGGGGGCAATGTGGCAGATGTTGCAGGTGTATGGTGTAGGAGGTAGGTTACTGAAAGCAGTGAAGAGTTTTTACGAGGATAGTGAGGCTCAAGTTAGAGTATGTAGGAAAGAGGGAAATTATTTCCCATTGATTAGGCTGGGTTTGATTGGTGTCATTGGGTACGGGAGTTATTTCTAGGGAAGCTTTAGGTAGTAGTCGTTTTGATAAGGACCTGCCTCGCATGGGCCAGTAGGCCTTCTGCAGTGTTCCTCCATTCTTATGTTCTTAAAAGTAGGCCTTAGACAAGGATGTGTGATGTCACCGTGGTTGTTTAATATATTTATAGATGGGGTTGTAAGAGAAGTAAATGCGAGGGTCTGGGCAAGAGGCGTGGAGTTAAAAGATAAAGAATCACACATAAAGTGGGAGTTGTCACAGTTGCTCTTTGCTGATGACACTGTGCTCTTGGGAGATTCTGAAGAGAAGTTGCACAGATTGGTGGATGAATTTGGTAGGGTGTGCAAAAGAAGAAAATTTAAAGTGAATACAGGAAAGAGTAAGGTTATGAGGATAACTAAAAGATTAGGTGATGAAAGATTGGCTATCAGATTGGAGGGAGAGAGTATGGAGGAGGTGAATGTATTCAGATATTTGGGAGTGGACGTATCAGCGGATGTGTCTATGAAAGATGAGGTGAATCATAGAATTGATGAGGGGAAAAGGGTGAGTGGTGCACTTAGGAGTCTGTGGAGACAAAGAACTTTGTCCTTGGAGGCAAAGAGGGGAATGTATGAGAGTATAGTTTTACCAACGCTCTTATATGGGTGTGAAGCATGGGTGATGAATGTTGCAGCGAGGAGAAGGCTGGAGGCAGTGGAGCTGTCATGTCTGAGGGCAATGTGTGGTGTGAATATAATGCAGAGAATTCGTGGTTTGGAAGTTAGGAGGAGGTGCGGGATTACCAAAACTAACCATACCCCAGCCGGGATTGAACCCGCGGTCAGAGAGTCTCAAAACTCCAGCCCGTCGCGTTAGCCACTAACCACTAACGCGACGGGCTGGAGTTTTGAGACTCTCTGACCGCGGGTTCAATCCCGGCCGGGGTTTGGTTTGTTTGCAATCGTGTCATTACGATTTCGTGAGTCTTACTAAAACTGTTGTCCAGAGGGCTGATGAAGGGTTGTTGAGGTGGTTCGGACATGTAGAGAGAATGGAGCGAAACAGAGTGACTTCAAGAGTGTATCAGTCTGTAGTGGAAGGAAGGCGGGGTAGGGGTCGGCCTAGGAAAGGTTGGAGGGAGGGGGTAAAGGAAGTTTTGTGTGCGAGGGGCTTGGACTTCCAGCAGGCATGCGTGAGCGTGTTTGATAGGAGTGAATGAGACAAATGGTTTTTAATACTTGGACGTGCTGTTGGAGTGTGAGCAAAGTAACATTTGTGAAGGGGTTCAGGGAAACCGGCAGGCCGGACTTGAGTCCTGAGATGGGAAGTACAGTGCCTGCACTCTGAAGGAGGGGTGTTAATGTTGCAGTTTAAAAACTGTAGTGTAAAGCACCCTTCTGGCAAGATAGTGATGGAGTGAATGATGGTGAAAGTTTTCTTTTTCGGGCCACCCTACCTTGGTGGGAGTCGGCCAGTTGTGATAAAAATAATAATATAATATTATATATATATATATATATATATATATATATATATATATATAATATATATATATATATAATATATATATAATATATATAAATATATATTATATATATATATTATTAATTATTAACACACCGACCGTTTCCCACCAAGGCAGTGTGGGCCGGAAAAAGAAAAACTTTCATCATTATTCACTCCATCACTGTCTTGCCAGAGGTGTTCTTACGCTGCCGTTATAAAACTGCAACATTAACACCCCTCTTTAATGCTTCGTTTCATCAGTTTGTCTCTTGCTAATTTACACTTGTTAGTCAACTTTCAGCTTTATCACACCTGACTACATCGTTATCACATTATGTCACGTCTTTCCCCCCAGACTCAGGTCTTCACGCTCACTAATGTCTCGTCAGTACGTCGACGTCAAGACCTGGGACCAAGCGGCGTGGAAGACATGATCAGTCTATCGTGAGTACCTGGCTTCACACCCCAGTTTACCTGGCTTGTCACACCTGTTTGAAGAATATGACTTGAAGAGTAAGTCACAATACCAAGACTGCAATCATTCACAATCACCCAAGTTGGAAATTAAAACTGAACCTCTTGGTCCTTCCCGAACCATTATCGCAACGTGATAATGGTCCAGGGTGGACCACAACGTTGTACAGGTTTCATTTTCGGTTTGTGAAGCGAACTGCCTTAACTACCTAATGCATCTGGTAAATGGTCCAAGTCGGACCGAAACGTCGTCGTAAACTCCTCTCTCCTATGTATGGGATGTATTATTCCAGTCACGGTATTGTGCCTTTTTTGTTCTTTAGGTTCATTTAGCCCAGTTTTAAGAGCTTGCCTAAGTATATTATATATCTGAATACTAAGTTCATCGCAGTTAATTGGGTTTACCCGAATACCTGACTTACCTGAGCACTGCTGCGTCTGGCTTAGTGCGTAGCTGGAATTTAGTGCATCTGATGGTCAAAGTCAGGCAGGCCAACCAAGTATTCTGACGAGTCAGTTTCTCTTTGTAATTTCCTTGATGCTGGTTAGGGGCTCTTGATCTAGGGAACTGGATCTGTGCTCCAGTTCTCTGAATTAACCCTGAATACCTTCCATCTCCCACCCAACAGGTGCTGTATATTCCTACGGGTTTAGTGCTTCCCCTTGATTATAATAATAATAATTCTCTTTGTAATGAATTATGTGAGTCAAGTATTTAGAAAAGTAAGGAACTTAAATGAGATGCAATAAATCCCTTACCTCTCAGATTAGCTTTCATTGTATAATCTTTGTGTATAGTATAATCTTTATATATATATATATATATATATATATATATATATATATATATATATATATATATATATATATATATATATATATATATATTTATATATTAATATATATATCATTATTATTATATTATTATTATTATTATTATTATTATTATTATTATATTGATACTAACTTGCTCATCATATTTTATGCATTACGGTATTGTAGTATACCTTGCTATTAGCTTTCACTTGCATCTTTTATGTAATAATATTTTATTCTAGTATTTCTCCTGTGTTACTGTACACTGAGTACTTACGTTCTTGCAGGGATCTGAACGAGGCGTCGCTGCTGTGGAACCTCAAGATCAGATACGACAAGGAAATGATTTATGTAAGTGCTCTCTTCTTTATTATTATTTTAAGCGTCATGTTAAATTTCCGAGTTGTATTAATTTATCTTTTATCGCTACGATTTTACTTTTGTTTGCTGGAGATTGATGTATGGAAGCTCTGTGGACAGTGACACCACTCGCTGTTTTAGAGATAACTGGTATACAATGCCGACATGAACGGGGGGAGGGGAGGGAAAGACAAATGCAGCATAATATGATCATTTACTGGCAATGTTTGTGACTTGATGAAGCCCACTAAATGGATGAAACATTGACAGTCAAGACTCGCATTATACTGAATTTCTGTCGTTTTCCACGCTGTTTTATTGTGTTTGCTCTTAATGAGAGTCTCTCTCCCTTCTCTTTCTCGCTCTTCCTCCTCCTACTCTCTTCTTTCTCACCCCCCCCCCCACTTCCTTCAAGCACACTTGGCGTCTAACCAACTACTCTCTCACAGACATACACGGGCAGCATCCTGGTAGCGGTCAACCCGTACCGCATGTTCGACATATATGGGCTGGACACTGTCAAAAAATACGAGGGCCAGATCTTGGGCACCTTACCCCCGTGAGTACCACAGTGACCTTGCTGCCCTATATTAACCTTACTTGGTAATGACCTTACTAGAGATATTTCTCAGTGGTAACCATGTTAGTTTGCTAATAGACAAAATTATTGGCATTAACAGTGACTCTCCTCTACGATCATCTCCATACAAATTAGTATGCCATTAGAGAAGCACAAATCCCCTAGAGGTCCCACAACACTTGGGATACAGGAGGTAATCAGGTTTAATATAAGGAAGGGAAGTGTAGTCTCAATTACCATGATCAGGAACCCTTCATCAGAATGATGGCATCCTCCTCTCTGAATGTATCTACTTCTAAAGTAACCTTGTTCAGTTTACATCCTGAGTCCATAGAAATCCTCCACTATTCACTTTGGTGACGACCATCTAGTTAACTCAACGACAAACTCCATTAACTGACTTGACCTCACAAGCTGACCTGACCTGCTTCTCCTGCAGCCACATCTTCGCCATTGGGTCTGCAGCGTACTCGCGCATGAGCAAGGACTCCAACAACCAGTGTGTGGTAATCTCTGGAGAGTCCGGCGCTGGCAAGACCGAATCGACCAAGCTGATCATGCAGTACCTGGCGGCCGTCAACAAGTCCCAGAGTAACCTTATCACTGAGCAGATCCTTGAAGCCTCTCCACTTCTCGAGTCCTTCGGTAACGCCAAGACCATCAAAAACGATAATTCCTCCAGGTTTGGCAAGTACCTGGAGGTCTACTTCAAAGAGTAAGTGACCGTTTTTATTTTTAGAGGAAGACTAAATGGGATTGAATGGTGAGGGGTGATTGGTTAATTTTTTTTCAAGGTATTAAGGTCAAGGGGGCAAAGTTCGGATTATTTTTCTGGGTCAGTGTATGTGAAGAATTTCTAGGAGGTCGACCATGATTGGTAATGGAAGATGACTTGGAGTTGAAGGAATTCTTTAGGTTCGTGGGCCTGGGAACGAAAGTAGTAGTAGTGAGTGGTTGTTTACGAGTATATGTATGTATGCGAGAGAGAGTAACTTAGGAGAATTCATTTTTTAAACCTTCACTCATATGAAGTATGTGAGCTTATAAATCCATTCAGAACTTTATTATGAAAAAATAAACAGCATGTCAACCTTTTGTATGTACAACATGTAAGTAAATGTTTCCAAGTGGAAGTTATATTATTACCACCACCACTGTTGTCCTACCGTCACACTGCCTTGTGTCCCTCAGCGGGGTGATCACGGGAGCCAAAATCACCGAGTACCTTCTGGAGAAATCTCGCATAGTGACACAAGCGCACGAGGAGAGGAACTATCATGTCTTCTACGAGCTCCTTGCTGGACTACCTGAGGAACGTAAGGCCAAGTACGGCCTCACCTCAGCCGACAAGTACTTCTACCTTAACCAGGTTAGTTGTTATACTCATGAGCTGGCTGAGGGCTGTGTCTTGGACTACCAACCCTCCACTAGCATCAAGGCACGGTTTGAAGCATTTTCTGGCATACCTCATTTTTAAGCTAAAATGCGTAAATTATCACACTTTTAATCGAAACTGCTGATACAATTGTATTTTATGGGAAAAGTAGGCCAAATCATATTGCTTTATTTCAAGTAGCAAACCTTGACTGTTTTTACATTGGTTTAAACCCTTGGAGATAAAGAATGGGCAAATGAATTACCAAGTCTGTATTACATACAATGGTATATTTACCTTATTCAGAATGTTGAAGGGGAGTATAAGATTTATATGTACAGGGAGAAGGTGAAGACAGCGAGTGAACATGGTTCCCTGCAAGCTTCCCTGCTTGTATACAAGTGTTGCTTGCTTGTACGTTTTGTCGCTAGCTCCAGCAGCGTACCAGTGCCAGCATCACACACTGACCATCTCTGTCTTACCTTCCTCAGGGCGGAAGCTGTCAGTTGGAGGGCAAGTACGACGCTGAGGACCTGCAGGCGCTACTCTCAGCCATGCAAGTGCTGGGATTCTCCTCTGACGAGCAGGACACCATCTTCAGGATTCTCGCAGCTGGTCAGTTCTTACACAGTTTTTTTTTTACCTATAAATATATGTATATCTTAATTATTTGGAGATACTGAGTGTGACTCGAGGGTATTGTTGTTGTTATTAATGTTTGTTGGTGTAATATGCCTCTGGGTTTGAAATGTTTCTATTGTTTCCTTTTTTCTGCTCTGTCTGTTTCTTAGTCTCTTTTTCTCGCTCTGTGTTTTTGTCCTTATCTCCCACTGTCTTTGTTCTTATCTCCCACTCATTAGCTCTGTGTGTTTGTCCTTATCTCCCACTATTTAGCTCACCATTTCTATATGTAGTGCTATACCTTATTCTTAGAGTCGCATATTCACTCATTCCCGTACTCTCTTGCTCCCATATTCACTCCTGCTCACTCATGTAGGTCTCTCCAGGATTGTGGCCAGGGACTGAGGTGACCCCAGTAAATACAGTACAGTGAATGCTCGTTTACTTACCTAATCTACTCTGCATTTCCGTGATCAGTGCTGCACCTGGGCAACATCTACTTCCACCGCAAGCAGCTGCGGCACGGGCAGGAAGGTGTGGAGATCGGCAGTGAAGCAGAGATCAAGTGGGCCTCCCACCTGCTCCAGATTGATAACGTTGGCATCAAGAGAGCTCTTACTACCAAGATAACTGTGAGTCCTCTTTCCCCTTCCACTGGAAAGTGGAGAGTTGTTATGGTAGCGGATGCTGATTTGTATTGATTTTGTGAAATGAGAAACACTTGTGGGTCACTGTGTGCAAGGAGGCTTGATCATCCGTTCGTTAAACGCGGCCAGTTAGTGGTCGTCTGGATGTTGAGATAAAGAAGAATTAAGAGACGTGGGAAGGAAAGGAGGAGGAGGAAGAAGTAGAGCTTGTGTAAATGTTGTGATGGAAAGGGTTTTGGAACTAGGTGTGAAGGAGCTGAGGGGTAGTTGCGAATTGTTCATCTTGGTCTGAAGAGTGAGTGAGGGACGGGGGAAAGGCGGTCTTGTAGTTGCAAAAAGATGACTCCTACAGGAAGGAAAACAGGAAGTTAATTCTAGGAGAAGGGAAAAGATTTATTCTAGAAGCAGAAGGGAAGAAGTTTACTTCAGTACAGAGGAAAAGATCTACTCCAGCAGAAGGGAAAAGGTTTACTCTAGAAGTAGAATAGGATAAGATAAAATAAACATCAGACAGGACAGATGTTGACATGACAGGGTAGGACCCCTCGAAGGAGGTACAGTGATGCTGGCGAAGGGCTCTTGATCTAAGGAATTGAATCTATCCTCCCCTTCCTTGGATCGAACCTGATTACCTCCTATTCCCAAGTGCTGCATAACCCCTACGGATCTAGCGCTTTAATGTTCTTACAATAATAACAGATGGGGGACAATGAGCATCCTTTTGACATGGGAGATGAAATAGGTCGGTGTAAGAGATCTACCCGGGTTATAGTAATGCATGTTTGTCAGATACATAATTTTTACCTCCATTTGTATATTTCAATCATATGATTGGTACGTTTATTGCAACACACTATAACGGTTTTGCTTGGCTTCAGTCACTTTCCTGTGTTTTACCCCCTGCCAAGTCTCACCCCACAGGGAAAGTAAGTGCCTCTCACCCTCCACTCCTAGCCAATCCTCTTAGGCCGCCCTTAGCATGTCTCGTTCCTCGGGAACAGTAATTAATCTCCAACCATGTCTCGTTCTTTAGAAAGAGCAACTAACTTTTTTTATCCTCATTTCTTCCTCTTGTTAGTTTTTATATTTATGAACACAGAAAATTCTGACTCGCACAGTAAGATGTAAAAAATTGCATCGGAATTACCAGAGCTTCTTTTGACCTATTGTCGTCCTTCAGGGAGAGCAACTAACCAAACCCAGTCACCTCCCTATTTACCCTCATACCATCTCAAATCCCTTAGGAAAGAAGTAACTCTTTCCCCTGCTGCAGGAGGCGAGAAACGAGCGGGTGTTCACGCCCCTAAACATCGACCAGGCCCTGGACGCCCGCGACGCTGTGGCTAAGGCACTCTACTCCTCCCTCTTCTCGTGGCTCGTCCGTCGTATCAACCAGATCATCCACAAGGGCTCTAGGAAGACCCATATCTCCATTCTCGATATTTTTGGCTTCGAGGTCTTCAAGGTGGGTTGTGTTCCAAGGCTGTGGTCCCAGACCTCTCCGATTTTTTGTTTATTTTCTCTCCTAAATGGGTAGTTTATTGTGCACCCCTGTATCCATTCAGTCGACGGGAGCGCAGGTATAAATGGATACACACAAGGCTTAGGAACAATTCTCCAAAAGAGTTAAGACGAATATCTTTCTTTCAACACACTGGCCGTATCCCACCGAGGCGGAGTGGCCAAAAGGAAAAACCAATGTTTCTCCTTTTACATTTAGTAATATATACAGGAGAAGGGGTTACTAGCCCCTTGCTCCTGGCATTTTAGTTGCCTCTTACTACACTCATGGCTTACGGAGGAAGAATTCTGTTCCACTTCCCCATGGAGATAAGAGGAAATAAACAAGAACAAGAACTAGAAAGAAAGCAGGAGAAAACCCAGAGGGGTGTATATATAAATATATATACATATATATACATTATATATATATATATATATGTAGGTAGTAGGTTGGTAGACAGCAACCACCCAGGGAGGTACTACCGTCCTGCCAAGTGAGTGTAAAACGAAAGCCTGTAATTGTTTTACATGATGGTAGGATTGCTGATGTCTTTTGTCTGTCTCATAAATATGCAAGATTACAGGCATGTCTTGCTACTTCTACTTACACTTAGGTCACACTACACATACATATACACATTTATTCATACACACTCATCTGAGTTTTCTTTGATTTTATCTTAATAGTTCTTGGTCTTATTAATTTTCCTTTTATATCCATGGGGAAGTGGAATAAGAATCTTTCCTCCGTAAGCCATGCGTGTTGTAAAAGTCAACTAAAATGCCGGAACATGGGCTAGTAACCCCTTTTCCTGTAAAGATTACTAAAAAGAATAAGAAGAAGAAAATTGTCAAAGTGGGAAGTCTGAATGTGCGTGGATGTTGTGCAGATGATAAGAAAGAGATGATTGTGGATGTTATGAATGAGAAGAAGCTGGATGTCCTGGCTTTAAGTGAAACAAAGCTGAAGGGGGTGGGAGAGTTTCAATGGAGAGGAATAAATGGGATTAGGTCAGGGTTTCAAATAGAGTTAGAGCTAAAGAAGGAGTAGCAATAATGTTGAAGGATAAGCTATGGCAGGAAAAGAGGGACTATAAATGTATTAATTCAAGGATTATGTGGAGTAAAATAAAGATTGGATGTGAAAAGTGGGTTATAATAAGCGTGTATGCACCTGGAGAAGAGAGAAGTGTAGAGGAGAGAGAGAGATTTTGGGAAATGTTGAGTGAATGCGTGGGGAGTTTTGAATCAAGTGTGAGAGTAATGGTGGTTGGGGTTTTCAATGCTAAAGTGGGTAAAAATGTTATGGAGGGAGTAGTAGGTAAATTTGGGGTGCCAGGGGTAAATGTAAATGGGGAGCCTTTAATTGAGCTATGTGTAGAAAGAAATTTGGTAATAAGTAATACATATTTTATGAAAAAGAGGATAAATAAATATACAAGGTATGATATAGCACGTAATGAAAGTAGTTTGTTAGATTATGTATTGGTGGATAAAAGGTTGATGGGTAGGCTCCAGGATGTACATGTTTATAGAGGGGCAACTGATTTTTTTTTTTTTTTTTTTTTTTTTTTTTTAACAAGTCGGCCGTCTCCCACCGAGGCAGGGTGACCCAAAAAGAAAGAAAATCCCCAAAAAGAAAATACTTTCATCATCATTCAACACTTTCACCACACACACATTATCACTGCTTTTGCAGAGGTGCTCAGAATATAACAGTTTAGAAGCATATACGTATAGAGATACACAACATATCCCTCCAAACTGCCAATATCCCAAACCCCTCCTTTAAAGTGCAGGCATTGTACTTCCCATTTCCAGGACTCAAGTCCGACTATATGAAAATAACTGATATATCGGATCATTATTTAGTTGTAGCTACAGTTAGAGTAAGAGGTAGATGGGAAAAGAGGAAGGTGGCAACAACAGGTAAGAGGGAGGTGAAAGTGTATAAACTAAGGGAGGAGGAAGTTCGGGCGAGATATAAGCGACTATTGGCAGAAAGGTGGGCTAGTGCAAAGATGAGTAGTGGGGATGTTGAAGAGGGTTGGAATAGTTTTAAAAATGCAGTATTAGAATGTGGGACAGAAGTTTGCGGTTATAGGAGGGTGGGGGCAGGAGGAAAGAGGAGTGATTGGTGGAATGATGAAGTAAAGGGTGTGATAAAAGAGAAAAAGGTAGCTTACGAGAGGTTTTTACAAAGCAGAAGTGTTATAAGAAGAGCAGAGTATATGGAGAGTAAAAGAAAGGTGAAGAGAGTGGTGAGAGAGTGCAAAAGGAGAGCAGATGAAAGAGTGGGAGAGGCACTGTCAAGAAATTTTAATGAAAATAAGAAAAAAATTTGGAGTGAGTTAAACAAGTTAAGAAAGCCTAGGGAAAGTATGGATTTGTCAGTTAAAATCAGAGAGGGGAGTTAGTAGATGGGGAGAGGGAGGTATTAGGTAGAGGGCGAGAATATTTTGAGGAACTTTTAAATGTTGAGGAAAAAAGGGAGGCGGTAATTTCATGCACTGGCCAGGGAGGATACCATCTTTAGGAGTGAGGAAGAGCAGAATGTAAGTGGTGGATGGAAACCGTGAGCCATTACGTAGAATGAAGGGGGTAAAGCAGCTGGAACTGATGGGATCATGACAGAAATGTTAAAGCAGGGATTATATAGTGTTGGAGGGGTTTTGGTACTTTTGTTTAATAAAATGTATGAAAGAGGGGAAAGTACCTAGGGATTGGGGGAGAACATTTTAGTCCCTTTATAAAAGGGAAAAGGGCCAAAAGAGTTGTAAAAATTATAGAGGAATAAGTTTACTGAGTATACCAGGAAAAGTATACGGTAGGGTTATAATTAAAAAGAATTAGAGGTAAGACAGAAGTAGGATTGCGGATGAGCAGGGAGGCTTCAGAGTGGGTTGGGGATGTGTAGATCAAGGTTTTACATTGAAGCAATATGTGAACAGATTTAGATAAAGGTAGGGAAGTTTTTATTGCATTTATGGATTTAGAAAAGGCATATGATAGAGTGGATAGAGGAGAAATTTGTGGCAGATGTTGCAAGTATATGGAATAGGTGGTAAGTTACTAAATGCTGTAAAGGCTTTTATGAGGATAGTGAGGCTCAGGTTAGGGTATGTAGAAGAGAGGGAGAATACTTCCCGGTAAAAGTAGGTCTTAGACAGGATGTGAAATGTCACCATGGTTGTTTAATAAAATTTATAGATGGGGTTATATAAGAAGTAAATGCTAAGGTGTTTCGGGAGAGGGTGGGATTAAATTATGGGGAATCAAATTCAAAATGGGAATTGACACAGTTACTTTTTGCTGATGATACTGTGCTTATGGGAGATTCTAAAGAAAAATTGCAAAGGTTAGTGGATGAGTTTGAGAATGTGTGTAAAGGTAGAAAGTTGAAAGTGAACATAGAAAAAGTAAGGGATGAGGGTATCAAATGATTTAGATAAAGAAAAATTGGATATCAAATTGGGGAGGGGAGTAGGGAAGAAGTGAATGTTTTCAGATATTTGGGGAGTTGACGGGGTCGGCGGATGGATTTATGAAGGATGAGGTTAATCATAGAATTGATGAGGGAAAAAAGGTGAGTGGTGCGCTGAGGTAAAAATGTGGAGTCAAAAAACGTTATCTATGGAAGCAAAGAGGGAATGCATGAAAGTATAGTATACCAACACTCTTATTTTGGATGTGAAGCTTGGGTGGTAAATGCAGCAGCGAGGAGACGGTTGGAGGCAGTGGAGATGTCCTGTCTAAGGGCAATGTGTGGTGTAAATATTATGCAGAAAATTCGGAGTGTGGAAATTAGGAGAAGGTGTGGAGTTAATAAAAGCATTAGTCAGAGGGCAGAAGAGGGGTTGTTGAGGTGGTTTGGTCATTTAGAGAGAATGGATCAAAGTAGAATGACATGGAATGTATGTGTAGTGTGACCTAAGTGTGAGTAGAAGTAGCAAGACATACCTGAAATCTTGCATGTTCATGAGACAGAAAAATGGACACCAGCAATCCTACCATCATGTAAAACAATTACAGGCTTTCATTTTACACTCACTTGGCAGGACGGTCTACCAACCTACTACCTAGATTAAGACGAATATATCGGGAATTATATCTACAGCTTGTCTTATCTGTTGCAAACAAATTTAAGATATTTGCTTAATATGTCTGGTATCTTATTTTCATTAAGATTACTTGACATATTACTTAGGTGTTTTACACTATCTCTGTATTCCTCAGTAAGTGGACACTCAAGTACATAGTGTTTAAAAAAGTGACTAAGGTTGACCACATATGTGAGTCCATTCTTAGTTTTTGTTATTAAATACTTTTACATGATTTGTTTTATAAAAAAATATATTGTTTAACGACACGTTAAACCTTCTCTTGTGTATTGAATAGTTTTACATAAATTGTCTTGAACTAAATGATGCATTGTTCATTTATAAGCTAAGACATGGTAGAAAACTTTGTCAAAGTAAAGGGAAAATTCTCTTATGTGATTCAAATTTAAAGGTGAGCTGTGTGTCAGTGAGCTTGTTGCCATCACATGATGACACAGGTGACTATTTATGAATGTAATACTCACACAACTGACCCTTGTCTCTGGTGCCACAGGAAAACAGCTTCGAGCAACTATGCATCAACTACGCCAACGAGAAGCTGCAGTTTCACTTCAATAAACACATCTTCAAGTTAGAGCAGCAGGAGTACGCTAAGGAGAAGATAGAATGGCAGAACATTGACTTTCAGGTGGGCTGCCACTCACAACATTGACTCTAGTTTTTAACTAATTAGAGATTTTTTTTATGTACGTATTTTTTTTTATTTATTGCCAATGTATTTTCCTTATTTAAAGATAAACAAAGGTTAAAAATCTTAGTTATGTTGATCTCTACGTTTTACTATTTTAGCAAATAAATTTTAGAAAAATCAATGTATAGATGGAGCAACCAGAATGATGCATATGTGTGTGTTGCTAATTTCAGTAAATTCAATGTATTAAATGGTCTTCGCTCCCCTCCCAAAATTAGCTGCTTCAACTCTCCTCCAAGCATTTTTACTTTATTTCACTTTTTTATCCTCTCTATATTCAGTTCTCCTTCCTTTCCTTTCCCTACACCGAGGTTACCAACTAAACGTACCTTCTATAATAATAATGATATCTTTATTTCTACAAGTACATGTACAAGGTCTGCCTAGCAGACATCAATGACTTACTACTATATAGAAAGTCCCTTGCTATGCAAAACATTTCAGGCAAATTTTGTCAATTTTGTCCCAGGATGCGACCCACACCAGTCGACTAACACCCAGGTACCTATTTTATTGATGGGTGAACAGGGACAGAAGGTGTCTTATGGAAACACATCCTAATGTTTTCCAGCCCTACCGGGGGATCTACCCCCTGACTTCAGAGTTTGAGCTGAGTGCGCTAGCGATCGATCTATGGGTCTACTGTGCTAATCTTCCCTCACTTCTCACCAGGACAACCTGCCGGTGATCGAGCTGGTGGCCCGCAAGCCTGTAGGTATTCTTCACCTGCTGGACGACGAGAGTAACTTTCCCAAGGCCACTGACCACTCCTTCCTCGAGAAGTGTCACTACAACCATGCACTCAACGAGCTCTACTCCAGGTGAGGCATTCTTTCCCACCCCTTCCCCCTTCTCTCCCTTCACACGTCCCTTGATGCTGGTGAGGGGAGTTTGATCCTATGAAGTGGAGCTCTTCCTTTACTCGTATCAGGTCTGATTTCTTCCCATTTCCCAGGTTCTGTATGACCCCTGTGGGTTTAGGGCTTCCCATGAGTATGAAAATAATCTCAAGACACAACATAACTTGGGTAATTAATTTAACTAAATTTTGTTCTTCGAGTCACATAAGATATCATTTGTGGTGGTAAACCTTGTGTATTCCACCAGTCACCATACTTACACTTAGAATACAAATAACTCGCACATAGGAGAATGAAACTGCCTTTAACAGTACTCGACCGTCTGTCGTTCTACCGTCCCACCCCCTCTCGTATAAATATATACTGGCTCCCTTCTCATATATGTGTGTGACTAGTTATTGGTCCAAGTCGGACCGAAACGTCGTCATAAGTTTCAGTCTCCTATTTGCGGGTTATTTGTGTATTGTTCCAGTCATGGTATTGTGTCTCTTTTATTCTTTACTTAGACTTAGTGAGTGTTACGAGATAAGAAAAATTATTGGTTACTTCCTCTTATTTGGTATCACCAGAGAAGTGCTTTTAAAGGGTTTTCTTAAAAAAAATTCTTCACTTGAATTTTTTGGTATAACTTTAGAATGCTTCATTGATCACTTTCAAATTTTCAACACTGTGGTGTACTGTAAGTACGGAAATGTTCAAGAAACTATTGGCACACACAGATGCCCTCGGGTCACTTTTATAGAGACCATTTCCAGTTCTGATTTCAGTGTAATAACTAAGAAGACTGATCTGCTTCAAGCTTTCAACACTGATGTATCCTACTTAGAAGTTTGGAATTGTTAGTAGAGTGTGTAGGTGTTAACTTGCCAGTTTTTTTTTCTAAAATGGGATGGTATTTTTTTTTCCGTGACATTACTTAAGTATAACTTGAGTATAACTCTTCTGAATGACTTCAGTCTTGAATTGCTGATGCATCTAATGAATATGATGATAGCTTTTGGATTTAGGCTGTGTAGATGCAACTTTGCCAGTTTTATAACATGTTAATATATTGTTTTATTTGTGCGACAACTGGAGAACTCCTCTTCAAACTTTCAGCGTTAGTGTGTGTTATTTAGAGGCTCCAGGACAGTGTTCATGATTATGACAACATGAGCAAGAAAGGGGACTGGGCTTGTGCAATACCTTTCTTAGATTACATAGCAAGCAGAACAAATCTTCTTTCCAAATATCTTAAAAATCAAAGCTGTCTCCATTTCCCCATATTTTTCATTCTCATCTTCCGTTTTGTTTACATTTCGCGCACAGACCGAGGATGTCCTCCATGGAGTTCGGCATCAAGCACTACGCTGGGCAGGTTTGGTACAGTGTTGAGGGCTTCCTCGACAAGAACAGAGATACACTCCGAAATGATGTTGTTGAGCTCCTCATCTCCTCTAAACATGCCGTGAGTCCCTCCTGTGGCTTTTCTTCAATTACTATTGCATTAGTTAATATAGTGTTCGATATGTTCAGTTTGATCATTTATGTTATTTTAAAGTATAACCACTGGCAATGTTTGCACAATATAACTCTTGAAAATACATTCACACAGTACATCCATTGATTATGTGCTTAAACAACATAACTGTTGACGGTAAATAAAATAATATAAATGTTGACGAAATGCTCCAATTACAGTCATATATAATGTGCCCAAACAGTATAACTGCCACTCTTTCACTGCAGTTGCTACCTCTCTTTCACTGCTGTTGGTGCCTCAAACTGCAGTCTCTTCCTCTTTCACTGCAATTATTGCCTCTTTAATTGCAATTGTTGCCTATCATTGCAATTGCTGCCTCTCTTTCTCCACAGATGTTGTCAGAGATGTTCTTGGACGTGCGACTGCTGTCTGAGAACAAGACTTTGACCAAAGCCAATGGTCGCTTCGTTACCATGAAACCCAGGACGCCCACCGTCTCCGCCCGTTTCAATGATTCTCTCACCCACCTCATGGATGGCATGGCTAAGTAAGTCTCTTGTATTTAATCAGTAGTTCTTCCTCCTTGTGGTTCCTCTACTTCCTACTGGTTGTTCCTCTACTTTCTACTGGTGGTTCCTCTACTTCCTACTGGTGGTTCCTCTACTTCCTACTGGTGGTTCCTCTACTTCCTACTGGTGGTTCCTCTACTTCCTACTGGTGGTTCCTCCACTTCCTACTTGTGGTTCCTTTCCTTCCTACTTGTGGTTCCTTTCCCTCTTACTGGTGGTTCCTCCACTTCCTTCTGGTGGTTCCTCCACTTCCTTCTGGTGGTTCCTCTACTTCTTCTGGTGGTTCCTCCACTTCTTCTGGTGGTTCCTTTACATCATTCTGGTGGTTCCTCCACTTCTTCTGGTGGTTCCTCTACTTCCTCCTTGTGGTTCCTCCACTTCCTTCTGGTTGTTCCTCTACTTCTGGTTGTTCCTCTACTTCTGGTGGTTTCCCTCTACTTCCTTCTGGTGGGCCCTCTACTTCCTTCTTGTTGTTCCTCTACTTCCTTCTGGTGGGTCCTCCACTTCCTTCTGGTGGTTCCTCTATTCCTTCTGGTGGTTCCTCTACTTCTGGTGAGTCCTCCACTTCCTTCTGATGGTTCTTCTACTTCCTTGTGGTTCATCCACTTCCTCCTGGTGGTTCCTCTACTTCCTTGTGGTTCGTCCACTTCCTCCTGGTGGTTCCTCCACTTCCTTTTTGCTAGTTTTCCACTTCCTTCTAGTGGTTCCCCTACTTCCTCCTGGTGGTTCCTCCACTTCCTTCTGGTGGGTCCTCCACTTCTTTCTGGTGGTTCCTCCACGTTCTCCTGGTGGTTCCTCTATTTCCTTCTGGTGGTTCCTCTACTTCCTTCTGGTGGTTCCTCCACTCCTTCTGGTAGTTCCTCCACTTCCTCTTGGTGGTTCTGCCACTTCTTCCTGGTGGTTCCTCTACTTCCTCCTGGTGGGTCTGCCATTTCCTCCTCGTGGGTCAGCCACTTCTTCCTGGTGTGTTCACCACTTCCTCCTTGTGATTCCTCCACTTCCTCCTGGTGATTTCTCCACTTCCAGTATAAAAGCCACCTCTGTAATTGTATGAGGAAGCCTGCTGTGCAGGCGAAACGTTTCAGCAGTAAAGATACCCTAGTATTGCACGTGTGTCTTATTCATTAACTTGTCGTTATTGTATACTATTAATAATAAGAAAAACTTTCATTTTTTCATTCTACCATCTCTTTAAAAAGAGACTGGATAAATATACGATGAAAAGGTCTGGGTTTGATTAGTAACTGAAATACTGTAGCAAATTCTTGGGCAGCTCTGGAAAAAAACTTGGATAAATACGTGGGTGGGAATGAGTGGTTTGACAAGGACCTGCCTTGCATGGGCCAGTGAACCTGCTGCAGTGTTCCTCCATTTTTATGCTCTTATGTTGACAGGTGCAACCCCTGGTTCGTGCGTTGCATTAAACCCAACAACGAGAAAGCCCCACTGAAGTTGGACATGCCATGCGTGCTGGAGCAGCTCAGGTACTCTGGCATGCTGGAGACTATAAAGATTCGTCAGCAGGGCTTTCCTGTACGCATGCGCTTCAACCTCTTCGCTGAGCGGTACCGATGCCTCGTACCCGGCCAGGTACCTAGGGTGAGTGGCTCATAAAAGCTGGCGCAAGAAGGGATAGACGCTGGGGCAAGGGAAGACGAGCTTTGGTATGAGGGAGAGCTGTCTCTGATACTAGAGAGGAAAAGTGTGGTGCAAGGAATGGCAGATCCTTGTGCAAGAAATTGCATGCTTTGGTGTGAGGCAACACTGGTGTCACTGAAAACAAATAAATTATTACACACACACACACACACACACACACAACACACCACAACACCACACACACAACAACCACACACACACAACACACACAAACTATCTCCCTTTTTCCCCTTCTCTCCTCTCTCTCTCTCTCTCTCTCCCCCTCTCTCTCATCTCTCTCTCTTCTCTTCTCCCTCTCTCTCTTACCGTATATTAAGAGTTTTGGATTTTTTTGCTTTCGTTCCATCCATAATACTTCCCTTTACTTGTACTTCCATTACCATTATATCTGCTGGTCTCTCTTGCCTCCCACAGCTTTCTTCCTTCTCCACATTACATCTTTCACAATACTATATTTTTCACATCTCTTCCTCTTTTTTTATTTATTTCCCTTTTTCCCCTTCCCACACTTGGTGCATGACCCGGGTGGTTGTCGGAATCGAGGATCGAACCTTCATATTCACAATTCCTCTCTTCCCTACCTGCCACTCCTCAATCAGTATACTTTATTTCATAATATGTAGTACGTTATAAACGCACAACACACATTACATATATGCAAATAAAATACTACTGCACAATGCATTTCTTAGTTGCTTATCTGCGTTACCGTCCACAGGACTTATACGGGGTGAACAATAAACTAGCCACTTCGGTGGCAAAAATCTAAAATATCTAATCAGCTGCTTATGACTAAATATGCATACTTCGCTGCTACAGGGAGCGCCGTCGAAGGAGATCTGCCGGGTGGTACTTGATCGCATGTCTCGGGGTTCCCGCGGCACCTTCCAGTTGGGTACCACAAAGATCTTCCTGCGGGAGGCGTTGGAGCAGACGCTGGAGCAGGAGAGGTACAAGAGGCTCTCCCACTCCGTCATCACCCTCCAGAGACACGTCCGCGGATACCTAGCTCGCAGGAGGTGAGCAGGAACACTGAAGGTGGTCACGGTAGTCGTAGTAGTAGCTTAATAAAAGTAAGAGTAGGTTGGTTTTCCTGTTGAAGGACTGGCAGAGGGAGATTTAGGTTTTGTATGGTGATATAATCGCCACCATTTTCCACCGTAATTGTTACCATCCAGAATCTTCACTACCACCACCATCACTACCACCCGTGACGCCACCTTATTTCATCTCACTCACCACTGTTACCATCATTCAAATTATCTGTGCTCTCCCTTGCGCAGGTATCGTGCACAGCAGCGCAGCGCAGTCATGATGCAGGCGATGGTGCGCATGTGGCTGGCGCGCCGCCGCTACCGCACCTTGCGCCAGGCGGTGATCAAGGCGCAGGCGCTGGCCAGAGGCAGGAGGACGCGCATACGCTTCATCATGCTCAAGGTCAGGGCTTAAAACAACAGAGTGGGAGTCTTATTTGGGGCTGGAAAGTCTTACTCGGGGCTGGAAAGTATTATTCAGGACTGAAAAGTCTTACTCAGGCCTAGAAAGTCGTACTCGGGGCTGGAAAGTCTTACTCGGGACTGGAAAGTCTTACTCAGGACTGGAAAGTCTTACTCAGGACTGGAAAGTCTTACTCAGGACTGAAAAGTCTTACTCAGGACTGAAAAGTCTTACTCAGGACTGAAAAGTCTTACTCAGGACTGAAAAGTCTTACTCAGGACTGAAAAGTCTTACTCAGGACTGAAAAGTCTTACTCGGGAATATCTTTTTTCACCGTTTCTGGTGTTTTATAAACTATGCCACTTAAGACAACCCCATCTATTGTCTATCATTCACCTGTCCAGTACCATCCTCGCAACACATCCACTTGTTCCCTCCACCATGATCCACCCTCCGAACTCCCTCCTGTCTTCCATCACCGAATTCACTATTCCCATCACTCTAGACTATGCTCATCATTCCCTAACCAAAATCCACTTCGTTTTCCCAGACTCCGGTCACCGTTTCCCCATGCAACATTCACGTTCCCTCACACTGTGTTCACCGTTCCTCAGACTCCCCTCGCTGTTTCCCCAGACTCCCCTCACTGTTTCCCCAGACTCCCCTCACTGTTTCCCCAGACTCCCCTCACTGTTTCCCCAGACTCCACTCACTGTTTCCCCAGACTCCCTCACTGTTTCCCCCGACTCCCCTCACTGTTTCCAGATCCCTCACTGTTTCCCAACTCCCTCACTGTTTCCCCAGACTCCACTCACTGTTTCCCGACTCACTCACGGTTTCCAGACTCCCCTCACTGTTTTCCAGAACTACCACTGTTTTCCCAGACTCCCTCCCCTGTTTCCCAGACTCCACTCACTGTTTCCCCAGACTCCACTCACTGTTTTCCCAGACTCCACTCACTGTTTTCCCAGACTCCACTCACTGTTTTCCCAGACTCCACTCACTGTTTTCCCAGACTCCACTCACTGTTTTCCCAGACTCTACTCACTGTTTCCCCAGACTCCACTCACTGTTTCTGTGTGCACCTTCAGGAAGAGATGGCCAGACGAAAGAAAGCGGAGGAACTAGCCAAGCAGAGGGCAGAGAGGGAGGCGCGCCAGAACCAGGCTGAGCAAGAGAGAGTCCAGCGCTCCGTGGCGGGGGTGAACCACCTTGAGATCCCAGCCGAACTGGCCTTTATACTCTCCAAAATCAACGGCAAGTGCCCAACAAAAAATTCCCATTTTCCTTCTCCCACTGCTCCTCTCTGTTTCCTCCCTTTCCCTACTTCCCGTTTACAGTCACCCTGTTTCTACATTACCTGGAGTTTACCTGGAGAGGGTTTCGGGGATCAACGCTCCCGCGGCCCGGTCTGAGACCAGGCCTCATGGGGGATCAGGGTCTGATCAACCAGAATGCATGCTCTTAGTACGGTGTTTAAAAGTCAATATTCTGGACCATAGCTAATTTTATTTTCCTTAAAAGTTTTTAAGATTACAAAATAAACACTTGGATACATAAAATTTACCTGAGAGTAACATTCCCGTGCCATTCCTGGGTACTTAATGTTTGGTCCAACCAATCAGCTGAAGAAACACCCAACAAGATTTGGCCAGTAGTATTGATCTGTAGTAAGCGTTAGAGATTACCTTTTATGTGCCAGTGATGACCACATAATTATGTATAGTGTTTATAGTCAGCTATTAGTGCCCTATCAGCCGGGCTGTGGTTTGTACGTTGAATTAAGTGCGACCTGCAGTAACAGCCTGGTTGATCAGGCCATGATCCACCGGGAAGCCTGGTCAAAGACTGGGCCGCGGGGGCGTTGGCCCCTGGAACACCCTTCAGGTAGACATACTAGTATTGTTGGATACACATGGATAGGATTCAAGGGGACCACAGTAATGTTGCAATTTATTTTCTTTTACTTTGTACATGCAAAAAATAAAGTGTCACAACACTGTGGCTGGAACAATTCACCAAAAACCCACACTTAGGAAAGGAACTTTATGACGACGTTTCGGCCCGTCCTGGATCAGTGTCAAATTACAACCGACTCGAGGAAAACAGAGAAGGCCTGAAGACAATACGGTAGGGTGAAGGGTTAAAAAGGTGTTGTAGTTGTAGTAGTAGGAGGTAGTGGTGGTGGTGAGGGACGTAAAATTAGCGGCAGCAGTGTAAAGGTAGCAGCAGGGGTCATAGCAGTAACAGTAGTGTTAGTAAGTACGTTAGTAGTAGTTGCAGTAGTAAAAGTACAAAAGAACAAAGTACCAGAAGAGCCTTCTCAAGTTGTGACTTGACAGTAGTCCAGCACGGACAGAAACGTTGTCATAAGGTTCCTCTCCTGAAGGTTTGTTTTTTATAAACTATGCATGCAAAGTCCACCGATGTCATTGTTGGTCACATTATAGCTCGTATTCTTGAGGCTCTACATAAAGTCTAAGAAATTACTAACGTATGCAGTGTATAAACCTTAATTGCGCAATTTGCGGGATGCAGCCCTAATTAAGCAATTCGTGGACAACACAGCCACCCTTTTTCTGCAGTAGAGCTATCAACTAATTATAATTATTGATTTCATCCATTTCTGAGACATGGATGAGTTCATCAAAGTTTTCAATTTGAAAATCTTGATAAATTTCTTTACCATATCTGTGGCTCCTACCTTGATACAGTCGTCATTGATAAAGAAAAATACACTGGTTTAGCACTTCCCCATCAATATATGTGAAGACATAGAAAACTTAGATATGAAGGTTCATTAGATCACAGTGTTCTCTCTGCTACACTGAACTTCCAGTATAATGGGACGTATAAGCTCTTACAACCTCTCTGTGAAAAAAGGAAACCTGGTCAGCCACTGAATGGGATGTCTTGTTCCAGGGTGGTATTAAAAACTGTGTGTGTGTGAGGATAGAGTTGAACCTAAAGGTTCAATACTGAACCCACTGAAACAAATAAGTGATCTTCGTTGATTATCCTCAAATTGGCAATCTTTTTTGTTTGGTGGCTGTTATGAGGCCACTAGTGAATGAAGTAGTTGATGAAATAGATGATCTAGCTCAAGATCTTGCTTTTTTCCCAAAGGCTTCCTGATATTCCTCATTCCAAGTTCGTACGGGAATGTGCTCCACCGCTCGGATTTCTCTCAGATACAAATGAACTCTTCAAATCCCTGTTTATGTCCCTGGTACTTAAACATCGACACTGTCTAGGCGTCAGCCTACAGCAGCCAGGTCAGATGTGCACATTCCTATGACCAAACATTTGTATCCTTCAGAGCTTATCTTCTTTATACATTTATTAGCCAGATGTGGCCTGGCATTATTTTTACCTATATTAGATTACCCCCTAATACTGAGTCACCTTAAGCTGGTGCTGTGGTTTGAGCAGCTTAACTTAGGAACCCAGTACCTTCCCTCCCTCCTTCCTTTATTTGCCTTGTGTAGATGGGATTTTTCCCCATTCATTAAATTTTGTTTCGGGTGATTATGTTCTCTTATCAGTTGGAGTGGTGAGGTGCTCTGCAACACTCGCAGTGGCTTGGAAATTATGGTGGCCCATTGGATGGTACATCCAGCGGCTGTCTTATGACGAAAGTATTACTGGAAATCACTTGTGGATCCAGAACTTGTGACTCAAAGTGTACTACTCTAGGCGTTGTAAGTGGTTCACCTTCGTCCATTACTACCTGAAATACTCCAATACTCTTAGTGAGCCACCCACTGGTGTACAGTGTGAGGATTAGTAACATTACAGTTTCTTTTTTATTGGCCAACCAGTAGTCTTTTTTTTATTTCTGCACTGCTGCTCTGCTCTCTTCATATCTTCCACATTAATTAACGTTTGTGTGTACAGGTATTCCCCAGGTTTATCTGTGGAAACGGCTCCTGACAACACCTGAAGAGACATGATTTATGACAGCGACTCAGGGCCAAATTCGGCATAGTAACTGGGTGTTGCTGCTTCTGGCCCTGATATTTACCTGTTTTGGAGGGCTACTTTATAGATATTCTAGCGGTGAGCTCTCTTTCAGTAATGTTGATAAGAATGTTGATGTTAAATCTGTTCAGTCTTGTTTTGTAGGTTGTTTCCTTCCGACATGACCAGCTTTTTTGGTTGTGAATTATTTATTTCTGTAGCATCAAGTGCTGCAGTTCAGAGTTCCAGGCCTGAAGGTTTACCTGCCCATTGCGAAGAACACTAAGAAACCTTGTAATCTGTTGTCTGGGATAAGGAAATCATGCACCTGGTCAGCCCGCCTGCCACGGAACAGGGAAAGTAGTCTGTTGTGTACTGAGGCACCTCTCTCGTGCCTTCCATGGGGTATTTTCAAATGTATTTGAACAAATGTGGTGTTTCCCCACAGTTGACCTTTGTGGTTCTGGCTAGACCCAAAGCCAGGCCGGGACCCAGAAAAATACAAATTACCGATCAAACTCTCGGACGATCTACATCTCCAGGTTGGTAAAGATGTTGAATATTCATCTGAACTGGTACTTGAAGATGAAAGCCTGCGTCTCTTCGGTGCAGTTTGGTTGCCTAAAGCTCCGGCTCACAACTGACTTCTTGGTTCTACTAGTTTGTGACATCCTGAATGTTATTTCAAGATAAACGTCATATTTGACAGTTTTCTTTGACCTCCACAACGTGGAGGTTTTGCATTCACCATCTCCAATAACTGTGACTTTAGAACCAATTGTTCAGATTTCTCCAACAGTTTCTAACAGGTTATTGAAGGCGAGGGTCCGTGCTACTCTCGGGAGTTTTCCCTACAACATGGAGTCCCGCAGGGCAGCGTTTTGAGGACCACATGTTGTATATAGTAGTACCCATGAAAAGTATAGTCAGTGTTGTCACTGATGGAGTCGAGGCTTCTTTGCATGAGGATGATCTTGCAGTGTACTGCTCAGCATTTCTTCAAGTGACTTGTCGACGGCTTTAGGTGGCAGTGGACAACATCACGGAGTCGTCTGCAACTATTGGCTACTGTTTTTCCCAGTCATAGATTAGCCTGCTCCCCATTCTTCCTATGAGCTGTAGGGGACATTTTCAGAATCTTTGAGCAGGGCCTTATATGGACCTCAGATATAAAGAAGCTCAAAGCGGGCGCTAAGCATTCTGAAGGTGCTTTCCCAGCATATCTGGGGGGTGAGGGAGATCAACGGACCATGCTTTCCCTCCCTGTATGGGGACGTGTCATTCCAGACTGTTATGGCTGCCAGATTTATTGTACAGTAAAGATGTCTAGCTTTTTCCTGAGGTAGGATGTGCTGTTATATTTCCTGATCATGTTTTTAAAGGGCGATCGCAACAGTCGACTAGTGTTCTACAACAGAATTATTTACAATTCTCAATGTAATTATCCATATTGCTACAATGTCCTTATCTGTTGTATTCAGCGTTAGTTTTATCTCATCTTCAGTGTATTATAAAATTCATGTTTTGCTTGGTTCCTTTACTCACTCATGCTCGGAAAAAGGAAGCTGCTGATTAATCTACAGTTTGTGGCCTCAATCCAATATTCCACTTCGGCATTACCAGTCTTGACCCACAATCTTGAAAGACCTCGGACCTGACCCTGATCGTTTGTCTGACCCCAGATCGCTGGTCAAATTTTTGACTCGTAAGCTTTTTTTTTTTTTTTTTTTTTTTTTTATCCACACTTGAGCTGCTGATCGTTCTCACTTCATCGGTGACAGTTGTGGGAAAGGATTGTCTCAACTATACATCGGTCACAGCAGACTCACCTACGATTATCTCATGGCTGGCACCATAACTTGATACATCTTCTTGTCTCTCAAGATATACGCAGAGTTCATTTTCAATCTGCTTTGACGCGTACTCTGCCCGTCTCCCAGGGAAGCGCTGAGTAGGCATGTGTGAATTTGACTTTCTTGAATAATAATAATAATAATTTGTAGAATACTTGTAGGAATTTCATCCTTAATCCTTGAATACTGTTTAGAGTGGAGAATGAGAGTGGCGAGTCAGAGTGAGAGGAGAATGAGTGCATGTTTGTAAAAACAAGACAAACAGGTGACTGGACAGTTTATTCTCTCGTGTAAATTCATATTTATTAAATGTATTATGGGCATCTTGATGAACAGCTGACAGTACGAGAGTAGCACCTGTGTGTTAACATTCACCTTGGTGTACGTATACAAGTGTACTTAGGTGTACTTACTAAAGTGTGCTCAACTAGATATACTCTCTGA